TGCACAGATCAAAGCCAGTTGCAGCCTAATCCTGGAAACCATGCAGAGCAAACATATTCCTTAGAACCCAGCAGGATCTGAACTGCACCATTAAGCCTCTACCTAGCTTCTAATGGCATTTGGTTCGAGGATCCATCCTCTAAAAAAAAAAAAATGAACCAAAAGAAACAAAAAGAAGAAGAAGAAAATTTGAAAAGAGAAGAAAAAAAAATTTAGAAAGGAAAAAAAAAGAGAAGAAAAAAGGAAAAAAAGAAAAATTGATATAAGGAAAAAAAAAAAAGAAAAAAAAAAAGAAAAAAGAAAAAGAAAAAAAACCACAAAAAAGAAGCCAATAAAGAACTTCCCAAATACAAGTCTGATACAATACTGGTGGCTGCAGTTTATTCTTGCCAATGCTCTGTGTCCTTGAATGGCGGTTCTTTATCCAGGCTGGCTGATAGTTGTAGCAAACACACCATTACACAAGGCTATCCCTTCCTCTACTGTCAGTCTCTCTGACAGATATGGGCCATTCCAGAGAAGCATGGTCAGAGCTTTGGCTGGTGTGCATGAAAACAGGCAAAGAAAAGGGAGTATCAAAACACTGCACATACTGTCATGCTCTCTGCTAATGAGTTTGATGGTGGTGTTTGCTTGTGGAGGCAATATTTGGTTCAGTCCTTAAGCATATATTGTAGCAGCTCATCAGGAAATACAGCACACTTGCTCTGAACTTTTGTTTGAACTCCCAAGACAGTCCCATGGAAAGGGACTGGGGGACCTTGGTTGATGGCAAGTTGACCCTGAGCCAGCAGTGCCTTGGCAGCCAGGAGGGCCAGCCCTGCCCTGGGTGCATCAGGCCCAGCATCACAGCCAGGCAAGGGAGGGGATTGTCCTGCTCTGCTCTGCCCTGGGGCAGCAGCCTCACCTCCAGGGCTGGGGGCAGTTCTGGGTGCCACAATATAAGAGGGATACAAATCTCTTAGAGAGTGTCCAAAGGATGGCAATGAAGATGGTCAGGGCCTTGAGAGGAAGCTGTATGACGAGTGGCTGAGGTCACTTGGTTACTGTTCAGCCTGGAGCAGACTGAGGGGAGACCTCACTACAGTTACAACTTCCTTGTGAGGAGGAGTGGTAGACACTGATCTCCCTTGTGATCAGTGATAGGACCCAAGGAAATGGCATGAAGTTGTGTCAGGGGAGGTTTAGGTTAGATATTAGGAAGAGATTCTTCATCCGGAGGGTGACTGAGACTGGATTAGGCTCCATGGGGAAATGATTACAGGACCAAGCCTGCCAGAGTTCAAGAAGCATTTGGACAATGCTCTCAGGTACAGGTGACTCTTGGGGCTATCCTGTGTGGGGCCAGGAGTAGGACTCAATGATCCTTGGGGGTCCCTTCCAACTCAGGACATCCTATAATACAATAAATTCCACTGACCAGTCAGTCCTAGCTTACAGCGTGAACAGTGGAACTGTTCACACTGTAAAAACTCAATTTTAAAAACTCTGATTTTTACTTGCAGTTGCCACCAGATGTTTGAAATGTTTGTAAGGTTGAAGGCAGTCTTAGTACAAAGCATGTGCCTCCCCAGCGTGGGAAACAGACAAGAGAAGCCTTCTTTCATGCATTTCTGCCTTCCCATTACTGCCTCCTCCACTGTTCAATGATTCCTCCCCCAGGTGCTGGATTCAGACAAGCCCTTAAAGTGGCAAGAAATGACACTACTGTGTGGGAGAAGCAGAAGTCCCAGTGGGTGTCATCCATAGGGTACTGGTTCCACAACCTTAGCTGTCTTCCTGACAGCTCTATACAGATGAATAATGACACAAGAGAAAGGTCTGACATTAGTGAAATTTTACAGATGAAAATCTGTGGGTGAGATGGACTGCTACTGCCCTAACATTCACCTGAGGTTGGCCATTGCTCCTATTGTAGCTACTCACCTCAAAATGCTCCTTGTAGTAAATGATCAGGGGCCCACCAACACAAGCACATGCATATCCCTAAACCACAAAATAAAAGGGGATAATGAAGATCTCCTATTTCCCTACCACTGCCTGGCTTGAGGCTTTGAAATGGGACCTTCAGTAAAGACACACAGACAGACAGACAGATAGATAAACAGATACTGAATCTGAAGAACAGAGCCAGTCACAGGCTGAAGATATGCTGGTCATCTACTAAAAAGTCTCTACAGAGCTCCCAGAAGCTCCCACCAAAGGGAAAATTTCTATTCCATCTTTTTCTACCTTCTTGTCAGTGACACTGAGGATTGTGCCCTTTTCCCTTGAAGTTTCATCTTAAGGTTTCCATAAATACCTTTGTTGATCATTCACTCCTTGTCAGGTGGGTGAACTGAGAGAATCCTCCTTCTTTATGTGGGAGCAGAGAAAGGTTTTCCACTGCAGTTTCTCATTTGGCATGAAGGCAGCACCTCCAGCTCCTTCAGCTTTTTCTCAGTAGTTCAGTACAAGGGCTCCCAACTATTCCCACATTGCAGACCTCCTGCAGACATGCCTTGCCAGCCCCTCATGGTCCAAGCAGCATCAAATTCCCTGTCTAATCTTCTGTGTCCTTCTCTTGGCACTACAAGTCTTGCCCCACAGGCTATAGTGTGGTGCTATCTTTGTCACCTATTCAGTGCACAAAACTTGCCAGGTTAGACTTTTCCAGTAGGAACCAAGACCCAGCCTTTCTGCCTACACAGCCAAAATGCACCAAGATCACCTTTGTACCCCTGTGTCAACAAGAGCCCCTTTGCTGACTTCCCAACATTGACAGAAGTTCTGATGTACTGACACACTTCTAAAGAGGCAGGACAACTCTGGAGGTGACAGACAGCCCTTTGCACCCATTCCCTAATGGGAACTGGAAAACCAGTAGCTTTTGCCAATAGGTTACACCTTCTCCCAAGAAGCAGGTCTAGGAAGCCAAGGGCAACATGGTGTATGGGCTGGAATCTCTCTGGCTCCTAGCAGTTTCTCTGATGTAAAGACCACACTGCAGCAATACCAGCCTGCCTCCAAAACAGACAGCTGCAAAGAAACTTTTGCTCTTGCTCAGGTCCTGCGTGGAGCAGATCCAGCCTCACGCCACAATGCCTGTGTCTGTCCGGTGCAGTGAGTCCCAAGGAGAAAGGGGTCCACCTAGTGCAGTCAGAGCAGTACTGCCAGAACCGCGGGCACAGCACTCACTCACGCCAGCTGCACAGCAACGCTGCGGGGGACGCGGGTGGGCAGCGAAGCCTGGTGCTCTGCTCTGCCCCTGGAGCGAGAGGCACACCCTCTGCAAGGGGCAGCACCCACGTGGACAACACCTGCTCCACCTACTGCATCAGCACAGAGCAAGGGTAGGCACCTCGCTAGGCTGAACAGACATGGCACATTTACATTCAGCAAGAACAGCAATCCAAGATGAAGCCTGTGTGCTTACAGGGGCTGAAGGCTGGCTTTAGGCCAGGGAAGAAAAGCCTTGGTAGCTGCTGGCTTGCTATCTCTCCAGCACTACTGCTGCACTTTTATTTCCCATAAAAGATCTCAAGAGACTTGACCTAGGTCAGTCTGTGTGAAATGGATCAAGAATGGATCTTCCTGGTTCAGAAAGCAACTCCTCTGGCCTATTTGTAGCTATCCCAGCTGAAAGAAATTGAGTTTATCTAATGTATTCTACGTACACAAGCTTTAAGGTTACACTTTTCAAAGGCAGTTCTGGCTGACGCCAACTTCAAGATCTGGGAGCATAAAGATAGGGTTAAAATACCTTGAAGGGGTTTAGATAAATCTTTTAACCACATTCTTTTAGTCCCTTTTACAAAATGTGACAGCTGTCTCTGACACCAACATAACTAGGCAGATGTTGTTGGCTACAGGAAATGGAAAGGGCTAAATTGAAAGAGCCACTGCTCCACCTCCTATCCATGTGCATCCCCATGTGACAAAGTTAGAGCAGATCATATATGAGCTCCTGTAACATCTGCGGATGAAACTGAAACTAGCTGGCTATCAGCTCTGAGCACTAGAAACAAACAGGCAAAACAGAGCTGAACATAGGCACTACTAAATAGTTTAAAAAGGCTTTGAGGAACCTTAACAAAAAATGCCTGTGGCATGGTCTAGAAAAGCTCGTTTGCCACAGGCAGTTCCCTCGAGACCAAAGTCATGCAGTGCTCCCACACTCACGTGAAAGACTCGAGTCTTAAACAATTTGGTTATGATCAGATAAAACACAAAAGAGGGAACAAAAATAGCTTCCCCATCTCTCCTTTCATCCAGAAGCAGGTGAATCACTGACTTAAAAGACATCTAGTGGCAGATAAAAAACTATAGAAAATGACTAATCTAAAGGATGTTATTCTGGAAACTTCCAGACTTCCCATTCCATGGAGTCTTAGAAAGGAGTGGAGTTCCAGTTTTTCATTAAACCGTGAATGTTAGACAGAGACTAAATGATAAACCAAGTTATGGAAAAGCTTCCCAGACAACTGTAAGTCAAAAGGACTTGTGAAGCCTTAGGCAGTACTCCTGCTCTCCTCTATCACCTAAACCTCCCTTCCTGCTGGCAAGAGAAGGCAGCAACCACACTGTGAAACCTGAAAGCCTGTACAACCTAAAATTCCAAGTCAGGCTTAAACAGCACTGAAGCATAGAGAGCTGTGCATATATATATATATAAATACATATATATATATAAAGATTTTTCTTCTTTTCATAGATAAAAGACACAAGATATTAATTCTTCCGACCTCAATGTTTTTGGTTTCACTTACTCTGAACAAGTAAAAACCATCACCCCAGGAACTTACAGCAAAGCCACCACAGGTTCCTGGGACCAAGAGAATCCTGTTCAGCAAGAAAAAAGAAAAGCATCTGGAAAAGCCCACTGTAAGCTGGGCAGTGGAGAGTCAGCAGTACATGTGAGAAAGACTCCAAGTCCTATTTGCTTGGAAGGTAAGGAATAAGCAACACTAGCCTGAAAGAACCCAGATTCCACCCGCATGTAAATGCACAAGCAATACCAATCAACCTCACAGACATTTTTTAGTAAGACCTTTCAATAAACACACACACACACACATATATATACAGCCTTCTCTTGCAGAGACAGTTAAGTAGTTCCACAATCAGGACGGGGCTGGCCAGTCAGCACCACCTGGCCAGTGGATCACAAGGTGCTGAAGATGCTCCTGTGTGCGTGCTCATGGTTACGGCATTGTTTCTGAAGGGAAGGCCAATAAGTCTTGGAGACAGGCTCAGTGCAAACACACACACAGCTGCAGTATTCTGTAACAGCTGTGTCACAGGGTAAGGGAGATGAGAGGGAGCAGCAGAGAAAAGAACAAACATAAACCCTCTGCCAAAAGTGTCTGCAAACAGTGTCCATCCATGGTAAGTCCAGTCAGATTTTGATAGAGAAGGAAGTTCCACATGAGCAACCCTTCTCTGCCTGGGGGTTGCTCACCACCTGGAAGGAGCTTCGGATCAGCTCTTGGCTGAAATCCACCATGGATCCTTTCACAAAGGCCAGGCTGTCCACATCCACAACCACACGGGCACCACCTTGTTCAAACACCCTGCAAAAAAAAGCAGCATATTTAACCACTAACTGTGCCAAAGACCTTACAGAAAAGCACAACCTCAGCATGCTCCTTATCTCACAGGCTTCCTCCCTTCAATGCAAGACACTATTATCTCACACATAGCCTTCCTGCCATTTTTGCCAAGAACAGTAACACCTGATCACCAAAATCAGGTCCCTTTGTCCTTGCCTGTCATCGGGATTGATAACTGTGTCCAAGGAAAACTTGTACTGGAAGCCAGAGCAGCCACCTCCTTCAACCTGCAGCCTGAGAAACTCTGATCCTTCTGCAATCTCCAGCAGCCTCTGCAAATAAATAAAAGGAAGAGATCTAAAAGGCCTGCTGAACAAACTAGTGGACACTCACACGCCTCCTCTGCGCGACGGCAGGGCAGGCAGGGTGGAAACCCTCCCAGAGACACCAGGCCGCTCCGAGTCCCCACCTTCACGCAGCTCTCGCTGAGGAAGATCTGTCCTTCGCTGGGGCCGCTCTCCGTCGGGCCCGGCTCGGAGAAGG